TTTTTTTCCTAACTGTTCACAATAGGTTGACGACATTTTACCAAATTGGTCCCCTTTTTGGAAAAGGTTATCTGAAGAGGGGTCAAAAAAAAAAAATATATATATCCAAAAAGTGAACGGGTGAAACTTACATGCGAACTGATTCATCTTGGTCTCTCTTAAAGTCAGGCGTACGGCGCCGTTTGGGCTATTTTTCCCATTTAAACCGTTATATATCACGCTAGGAGAGAATGCAACAAGGGGGGGAGCAGTTTATATGATCGTGCCGGCTGATTTACTATGCACATATGTACGCATGCGCTGCGCGCCTTCATTCTTCTACGCCGGCTCACGTATCGCGGGAGCGAGGTAGCGCGAAGGGGATTCTAAACAGGCCATGCATAAGAAGGAAATCACCCACGGAACAGAAGGGAAAAGGACGCACCACAATGTAGTACAGCGCGGCGCGGCACAATACAGAGTGGTAGTGCTCAACTCAGCGCAGTGCAACATTTGTGGCCCCTCACCTCCTCTCAGCTGCGCAAAAATGCAGAGAGGAGGAGCAATCTTGGGGGGGCTGCAGAAGTAACAAAACAGAAGGGGCCGTGTGGAAAATATGCTTTTTTTAGGCCTATGCGCGATTTTTTTCGTTTTCTCCCCATCGTTTTCCCCAGAAGGTGGCGGCGCAGCCGAGGCGGTACTGCCTAATAGCAGCATAGCAAAGGTGGTAGCGCGCCGTGGGAGGACAGCAAATGTAGTGTCTCCACCCCGTGGAAACCTAACTTTTGTACCCAGCATGAAAGGATGGAAGCCTGAACGGAGTAGACCAAACAAAGTGAACGTGTTGATAAACTCGCCCGCACAAATAAAACTTTCCGAAATAGAAGACAATCGAGACAGGAGTGGGAAATTCTGTGTTATCGAAATATGTGGCAAAGCCCGATGGGTGGAGGAGGGAAGGTACTATGACGTGTTCAGAATAAAGCAAGAAGAAAATAAAAGCATTTACCTCAACAGAGTGTTTTTTTATAGTACGATGGAAGGGAAGCTGCTCTTCGGCACCCCCTTTTTAGACAATGTAAGAATCAAAGCAACCATTATGAAGCATTTCCGAGGAAATAAAATTTACCGATTAAAATTTAAGCCGAAGAAAAATTACAAAAGGTTTTATGGACACAGACAAGAAATGAGCAGAATTTACATAGACAAATTTGAAATTAATAACAACCTCGTGGATCGGGAAAGAAGGAAGTATAATTTTTTTAGAGATGATTCGATTTACTACGTCCTTAATCGTATTCACAACATGGTTAGGCCCAGCTTAGAGTTAAAGCATTTAAAAAAACACTTTATGGACTACCTGAACAAATTTTGTAGCCTCAAGTTTGAGACTTTTTACAAACACAGGGGGAATTACAAAAGGGAGAAGATGCTTCGGAATATTTTGAAGACAAAAAAGTTGAGCAAACGACCCGAGGTGCAGGAAGAGGTGCGGAAGATCGAAGAGGAGAAGGAGAGCAGGCGTCTGAATAAGTATGACCCCCTTGCTGACTTCGACCCGGTGGCCAATGAGTGTCTCATACGAGAGCACTTTTACGCGTGAGTGGCGTCTTCCCGCGGCGCCAATAACGAACAAAAATGGAGCAAAATGGCTTGAAGTGGCGCAAGGGAAGAGTTGCCCCACGCGCGTGTTCGCGTAAACGTGTACATAAACGTGTACATACATGTATACATACAACCGCGTTGCCGGGGACCACCCCCCCCCCATGTTCATCTTCCGCGTCTGCTCCTTCCTAGGGAAGGGCCGCTCAAAATAGAGCAGCTTGGTGATTTTATAAATCAGCGGTATGGAAACATTTTCCACATTTTTAATGCCATAGAATTTTAAGGCTCTTCTAAATTTGTGATTCCTCACAAAGAGGTTAATGAGGGACTGGTCATCCAGGTCCATATGCTTTTCCTTTAGAAGCCCCAATTTTAACGACCACGCTCTGAGGGATATGCTCTCATCAGACATGTAATTCGCTTCCGTTTCGATTCCATTCGTTTGTTTTATATTAAAGTCAGTTGATCGCGTGATATGTGCTTCTTCCCTCGCTGAGTTTTTCGTTGTTGGGAGTTTCTTCTCCTTTTCCGTTTTATACACACCATCGTTTGGTATGCCTCTCTGGCGGTTTTCCACTTCTCCATTTGGTTCATTGACCACATCGGTCATTCTTTCATTGGACAGATCGATGACTGTGTTTTTCTCCCCCTCCTTTGTGTTGTAAAAATCTTGAATAAGCTCCTCCGGGTGTTCACTCACATATTTATAATTATGAATGAGGAAGTCTATTTCCTTGTTGGAATTTTTATTTTTATATTTCTCCTCGCCGAGTAACTTCTCCACGTAATTTCCTCCTGTTAATTTGTCCTGCTGTCCATGTAGGAAGAGCAGATCCATTTGTCGGTCCAGATTGAGAAGTTCTTTTTTGTTCCTTTCGTCGTGAGGGCTATTCTTATCACCACTTGGTGTGTCCTCACTGGATTTACCCAACAAATCTTGATCATTGAAAATTACGTCCTCATCATTTTCCCCATCGACTGCTTCCAATTCGTGAAAGTTTCTCATTTTTCTTTTCCTTTTGTAGTATCCTAGCACCTGCACGTGTGGGGGAAGGGAAAGCAAGCAATCAAAAAGGAGGTGATGTGGCACACATGGATAAGGATGCGCTCCGAATTAGAGCATATATATATTCCCCTACTGATAGAAACCACGGCATGGACAATAATATGTGGAGAGGGAAATTATTTGGTCTAATTGCGGAAAAACTTCTTTCTTTCCTCACCTCGTAGGATGCGTGCTTGTATCGCTTCAGTTCGTCGTCGTCCTCCTGGGGGCTGCTTCCAATGGCGTCATCCTCAATGTTCCTCTTTTCGTCTTTATTTTCCTTCTCCTTTTCTTTCACGTTCAAGGGGTGTATTCCCTCGTTGTCCCCCTGCCTCACAATTTTGCTGACTCTTAGGAAGGGTTTGCTTGGCGAGTCCTCCACATATCCCTGCGCGGGGCCGCACGGCTCATCACTTCCAAGGGGGAGCCTCTCACCACGTGCATCAGAACTGTCCCCCCTCTCGCCCTCTTGCGTCCTTCTCCGAATCAGCTTTTCCAGTTCCTTTTTTCTGAACAGATTGCCAATGTTTATGGCCTTCTTCACAATGTCTTCCACGTTTATTTCTTTCTCAGTAGGGGAATTTGCCCCCTGGTTTGAGTCCCCTTTGTCCATTTGGACGTCACAACTGGATTGACGCAGGGCTCCGTTTTGTAGGCAGTCCATAGAGTGCACCGAGTCTATAGAGTGCACCGAGTTCATCTCGTCCCTCCAGATGGTTGACCTTTCGTTGGTCCTTTTCCCCACGGGTGTCTTTTCTCCTTTCACGTTTTTTTCTTCGGGGTATAAATCGGGGGCGCGCTCCTGTGTGTTGTTTTTTGCTTCCCCTTCTTTATATGATCCACTGTGCGGTTCATTCGTCGGATCATCCTGCTGCTTCTGCTCACTCTCCTCATCCACGAAGGTGTTCAAATAATTTTCGAGATCATCCTCCAGGAGGGCTTCACTCAGTTTGGCTTGTTGCGTGTTGGATGCGGGGGGAGAGGCTGTGCCCGCGGATGTGCCTCCTCGTTCTCTGGTTCCTTCGTCAACGGGGTCTGCGAGGTTGTCTCCGTTGCGCGTCCCGTTAGTGAGATCTCCTCCAATGGGCCCACTTCCAGTGGGACTATTTCCCGTCGAACCGCTTGCTTCCATCCCCCCTGCACCACCATACGTGGCACCCAAAAAGTCCCGCTCGCTGGTCACGTCAAACTGCTGCGCGTCGAGGAGCCTATGATACTCGCTAAACTCCTCGACCCCCTTATCGACGAGATTGTCTCTAAATTCGTCCTCATCATAAATATCGAATCCGTCAAGGGAAACCTGATCTCTATCCCCAAAGTAGTAATACATTTTTTCATTCCAAGTTTTTATATCATCTCCAAAGAGCTTGGACGCTTCCTCTATGCACTTCTCTTCATCCTTGGGAAGGTTCATGCTTAGGTTTTGGCTGAAGATGTGCTTGAGTTCTTTTTTCACGTTGAAGAAGGAGCGTTCGGCGGCGGCTCCATCGCCTTCCACTCCATCGCTATTCTCGTCGTCAATGCTTTGGTTGTCACTGTTTGGGATACCCTCGCCTGTGTCGTGCCTCCCGTGGGTGAAATCCCCCCCGAATTTCTCACGGCCGACGTAGCCGCCACGGTCCGCCCCCTTGGGAAGGTCATCCTCCACTTCGTCATCTTCCCGAAAGATATTCCTCCTTTTAAGCTTCCTTTTTTTTTCTTTCTCGTTTATGTACTGAAGGTCTGTGAGTTTGACTTTCCCCTTGGTGCGGTGGGGATACTGTCCTGGGGTTCGACCCTCATCCTCCTCGTCGTAGTCGCCGTCATCGTTGTCCTCCTCATCCATATTCCCCTCCTTAACCTCTTCCGCTTCGTCGAGGTACCTGGCCCAGTCGGGCTGTGCCCCCCCTGCGGAGTCCCTCCTCCCACCTGGTCCATCATGTGTAGCGCTTTCTCTTTTGTTCAGATCGCCGGTTAGGGCTTGGTTCCACCGGTGTAGCATCTCACGTGAGGCTTCACGGGATGTGCTGCTGACCTTTTCACCGCGATTCGCTTTCACATCCGTATCAGTCTTTTTTTTTCCCTCACTTAGGACATTTTGTTTAATTTGGCTGATGTTATCCTTTAGGTACATGAGGGTCTGTTTGTTTCCATCGGAGACACTGTCGTCGCGTTTGTTCATTAGTTTCTTGGTCGCACGTTCATGGTAGAGACGGAAAAAATCATCTGAGTCGTCTTCCATGGGGACGGTTTGGTCGTCCTCCCACCCTTCGGTGTTCCTGTCAGTGGTGCATTTCTCCATGGATTCATCCAAGCTGTCCACATTGTCGCTAAAGAATTTATTCAAATTTTCGTGAGTTATTTGAGTCGATTCGAATGGGGGTTCTTCCCCTTGGTGGCTGTCACCTTCATCTGGGGTGTCTGTGTCGGAAGAACCCTCCCTAAATCGCTCAATTTCATCCCTTAACGCTTTATTCTGCTTCTTCAACGCTTCGAGACTGAACTTTTCCTCGGCTTGTTCATCGTCTGGGGTGGGCAGTGCACCAATTTCTTGTAAAAACTCTTCATTGTCTGCATGCTGCTCCAGCATATCTTCGTAGTTATTGTTCGGTGACGTCAGTTCATTGTAACGGAGGATGAAAGGAGCGAACTGACTCTTCTTCAAATGAGAAACCTTCTTCAATTCATCTAGCTGTTCTTTCTTATCGAACAAATTATGTACGTTTTTTTTCTTCTGCTTTTTCAGTTCATTATATTTTTTTAAGTATTGGATCATATGGTAGTTCTGCGTGACGTAGGATGGACATGGCATGTACTTATTTTGCTCCTTCACGGTCTCCTGTTGATTTAGAACACGGAGACATGCTTCCTCCTCCAGGGTGTATAAGGTGACTTCAATTCTGTTACTCAGCACATCTATTTTTCTAACCTTTAAATCTTTTAGGTAATCTCCAATGGATATTTTTTTCTTCTTCACATCTTTGACTAGTGACTTGGGATCCCTATTGTAGTGACCCAAGTTTAGGAAGGCCAATGTCTTGCACCCGATGTCTATGTAGGCCCCTTCTTCGTTTATGTGTTGGACCACTCCACTTACTGTGTCTTCTATCTTGAAGTGAGTAATTTTTTTTTTCCTCTTGGATGAGCTTTCCTCCTTGATGTACATGAGATCTTCCTCCTCCTCGTTGGTTCTGAAGTCCACGCCCAGCTGCTTCTTCACCTCATCAGGGGTGTTGGCTGCGTTAGCGGTGTTGGCAGTGTTAGCGTTATTGGCTGCGTCGGCGGTATTGTCTGCGTCGGCGGTATTGTCTGCGTCGGAGGTATTGGCTACGTCGGAGGTAATGGATACGTCATTGATGTTGGCGGGGGGAAGATTCATCTGGTTCGAGGTTACATCTTCCGAGGGGCCTTGTGGGGGTCCCGCCAGGTACTCGTTTGCCGCTTCCCCCTTCGAGTCTGCCGTCTCGCCTGTTGTCGAACTTCCCCTCTCCCCAGTGCGCGGCCGCAAAACCCCCGCGCTGCTCAACTTTTGCAAGCTCCGACACAGCGCCTTAATTTCTTCTTCATTGTTGGTGACCTGAATGATCCCATTCTTCTTGTGGATGTAGCATATGACGACATCGATGTACTTTCCCACCTGATACTTCTTTCCCAGTTGCGCCTTGTCTTCAAAATACCGTTTAATGTATAGGTGTGCAAAGTTGATGGCGTTTATGTCTACCTTAATCAGGTGATTCTCTACCTGCACAATTTTTCCTCGCACTTCGTCCCCTAGCTTGAAAAAATCAACCGGCAGTTTGTACTTGCGTCTACACACCTTAGTTGTACTCATTAACTCTTGGTCCCTTTTCATTTTCTCTTTAATCTTTTCATACAGGTCGTACTTCCATCTTTTTAACAGGAGATTTTTTTTGGGCAATTTTTGGATATACGTGACGGAGTAGTTTTTATTTTTTTTTCTTCTTTCTTTATTCATGTCGTCTTCTTCGTTGGTTAACGTGGCGAAGTATTCGAATAGGTCGTTTCCACTTATGTATATTGGTTTTTTTTTTTTTTTTTTTTCCTTCCCAGGTTTGTGTCTGTTCCCTCTCTGCCGCTTGGGGGGAGAGGAAAGCGTGGGCGGCTCGCGATGAAGGTGTACTTCGCCAGTGCTTCGCCTTTTGCTGGGAAGAAGCAAAGAGTGAGCGCCGTTACCGCGACTTTCATTTTCTGCCCCCGGGGTGGAGCGGCGCAGGGGAGGGGAGAGCCCTGCTCTGCTTCCTCTTATGACCGCGGTTCGGATCACGACTGGATTACGCCTGAGGAATTATTCCCTCTCGTGCTGCTCCTCGGCACACATAGACACCTGCGCTATGACTTTACCGGATGGGAGATAACCCAACCAGGCGGATCTATTTCGTAGGTAGGCCCGTCACAACTGTGAGGTATATTCCACCTGTATGGATTTACGCCGTTGGACGTTTCGCTATTGTGTCTTTGTGTGGGGGGGTATGATTCACTCCTGGGTGTTTCCTCGATCAAATGGTTTTTCGTCCAGGGACCTCACTGGGATGCATTTTCATGGAAAGGTGATATGGCGAGTATATCTCCCCTTCACTGGAGAGGGGGATGCATGCCTCTTCTTAAAGGGTGAATTCTATGTGTACAAATTGGGGAAGTAGTAACTGAGAAAGTACAGACTGGGGAAGTAGAGACTGTTCCTCAGTGGTGATCTGCAGCTATACAATTTCGTCGCTGATACTTCTGCTTGTCCCCCTTCTGCAGAAAATATGCTCAAGGGTACTTCTTAAACCGGGAGGGGAAAGAGGCACCTTTTGACGGTTTCCCCAAATGTACCTCAGATTGTCGCAGCATTTGTGCCCTCCACGTTTATCGGGACTAGGGGCATCGGAAGAGCGGCACGAGAAAGGTACCGACTAGTTCGATTTATTCTCTGCACGTGTGGTGAGTGTACAGAGATTCACTGTATTTGTCGCGTTCCCCCTTTGGGATGCCAACCCGCTTGGGGCACCCCTAAAAAATAGCAACACAAATGGAGGATCTGGCGTGCGCTCGTGAAAGAGCCGAAAAGGTAAGAATAGTTCGTGCGGAAGTGCCTACGAAAAGAGGGGGCGAGAAGCAGCAAGAATGGAAAAATTTGGATGGATAAAAGGGGTCCCTTGTTGCCTCTGCACCTGTTGCCTCCGCATTGTTGCCTCCACATCTCCGTTAGCACCCTGGAATGGCGACGTGCCGAGCGGTGACGCAGCACAGGGGAGCAGTTTCCCCACAGCGAAGAGGAAAAGACGCTTTCTCGCCTACTTGACGGGATAACTGAGTGGATCCATTGCCTTCCTCCGTGCCCCATCCCCCCAAAAAAAAAAAAATGATTCACTCACGAGGAGGAACATGGGTGGCACTTCAATCTTCATCCTTTTTTCGGCTTAAAGCAGCGCAAAAGAACTCGGTTTATATTGTACTGTAGGTATAGTATCCCGATAATGACAAGCAGGACGCCAAGGGAGAAGCACACCGCGTTGGTGGATTCGATAACGGATTCTTCCTCGCGCATTATTATAGTGGTGAGGCTACTGAAGAAGACGATATTGGACATGATTAGCGGAATGACAGAAGTGACGCTAAATTTAGACAACGAGATGTTTAGAAAGAACAACTGATTGCATAAGCAGAAGAGAGTGAGCATGATCAGTACGTAGGCGAAGGGGTGTGTAAACATGTGAAGCTTTTCTCTGGAAAAAATTCCTATGATCTGCTCCGAAAAAATATTTACGAACCCTCCTGACATGCCACACAATGTGCAACAGCATATTCTGTAGAGGATTTCTGGGTGCTTGATTCTGTTCGGCTTGTCCGTCGCCGAGTAGATGGACGCGATGATCGCCAGGTACTGCATCTGGACGGGGTCGCTTCGTACACGGGTGTTACTACTTTCGGTTGGGTCGTTTGGGTTGCTGGGCTTGTTTGGATCGTTTGGACCGCTTCGGCCGCCTGGGTCACTTCTCCCCCCGGCGCTCGCGGGGCTACTGCCAATGCTTGCCTTGCCCGGGCTGCCCCTTTCACGCGTGGGAGAATAAACCATCAGCGAAAAGGGCTCCCCATCTTTCCAATTTTCACAGGAATCAATTTTATCGGCACATTTAAGGACCTCTATTGGACAGAAGGGTTCGTTACCTGCGATCGAACTGGGGTGACTCGATTGGGGAGTCAGTTCGGGGGGGTCCTCCACGGTAGGATTAGTTTGTTTACGCCGATCTATGTTACGGAAGAAACTTTTTCGTTTCTTCCTGCACACTTTTAACCCCCCCCTGCTCTTATTTTGAAGAAATTTTTTTATCATTTTGATACTTTCGTAAGGTGATAATAGGAAGCTTTTTTTTTTTCTTTTCCTTTTCTGGGTAGATGTAGATTCTGCACTGTCATCTTGTGTGGGTTCTATAATCGGTTCTAAGTTGGAGCAGCTCGTTGTGTGGCTTCCGCTGTTGATGTGGTCTTCGCTTTGGTAAGTTAGCTTATTTTCATTTTTGTCACTCGGGTGGATGGCTGTTTCACTGCAGTAGAGATCGTATCGTGATTCCACTCGCTTGGGCCATTCTGTATGTAGCATATCTGAGTTTCCTCGATGAACGGGGGGAAATTTTCCCTGGAGGGTTTGCTGAACTTCTCCTTTTCGCGCATCCCATGAGCGATTGCTTCTGCGAAATTGAGGTGGGTGTCTTTTTCTCTCTCTGTTACTTGACTTGAAATTGATCTTTCTAATCTTCTCAGTTCGATGCTTAGCAAATGTATTATTGGGAGGTAGACGTGGTATGGAGTCACCGGGTCTGTAATTAATCAGTGCGTTTCTTCGACCAACATTGATTGTCTTTTCCCCCACTTTGGGATGTCTCTTCACTCTGAATTTTTCCGCCTGACTGGAAGGAATTATCCCATCGTTGGAGCGAGGTGCAGAGTTGTCTCCTTCGTTTGATATATCCACAGATGTTTCCTTCCTAGTGGGACTACTCCTTTGTTGTCCATTCGTGATGAGACTATCCCCACGGGTGTTGCCTTTATCGGAACTTCTGATGGAGGCTAGGGGATCATCTGTTCCCTTCAAGGGGTGTTTCAAGGGGTATTCCAAAGGGTGCTTTAAAGGGCGCTCGAAAGGGTCCCTCTCAGGATGCCCCCTCTTGCCAGTTTTAAAGGAAGTTCCCCTTCCCGACGGTTTCGCACGAGTATCCATTTTTTTAAAAAGCGAGATTTCACATGAATCTGTGCATGTGTTTGCAACAAATTTGTTTATGTATAAAAGTTTCTCACCTTTAAAAGAAACCTTTTTTATATCTCTAAAGAGAAAAGGAAGCAAACAAACGATTAGCAGAGTAACAATGATTGTGAAGGTGAGGATAAGATAAATAATAACCTTTGTCTGACTGTACAACCTAGCCACATCGTTCATACTATGTATGTCAACTTTCTTTTCCGAAAAAATTATGATTAAGGCGATGCCACAAATTAGGAAAAAGGATCCCATGTACTGATGCAACTTTGTTCTGATTTTCAACGAAATGTTTGTAATGATTAAATTCCACAAAATGTGTACTCCTGCAAAAGGTGCAACCAATGCAGCGGAGGTGAAATACAAGGAACAGACGGTGAGTATTGGGTCTACGACTACGCTGAGTAACGTTCCAGACAACCACATGGTCATTTGGGACATGTGTTTTTTTTTCGCGTCCTCTTTGCTATAGCTGTCATGGACTAATTTGTCTCCCAGTGCCCCGAGGAAAGAGCCAACAAAGGAGATGGCTATTCCGATCCATGTGGTGTCCATTTGAGGGGGAAGGGGAGGGGGGAGTTTCGGGGCTTAAAAAGGCGAAGTGGGCCAATGAGTCTCCACACAATGTGTACGTGTTCGTATAGACTCCTTTAGTAGAGATACATTTGCACATGGGGCGGTAGTGATCGAGGGAGGATATGTCCACGCAGCATGTTGTTTTGTAGGAAGTGTAAAAAAAAAAAAGAAAAAATCGGGCATCCCTCTAAGAAGTCAAATTTGAGTCTTAGGAAGGGAAAGACGAAAAAAAGAAAAAAAAAGGAAAAAATTTAAGTTCAAATGTGCGAATGCAAAGTAGCCCCTCGCAAAGGGTCAATGTCACCTATTTGCACACATGAAGAAAAGTGGTCTACACATGGAGTGCAGAAAAAAAAAAAAAAGGAGCATTTTGCATAGGTCTTTTCGTACAAAAAAAGAACGGAGTTGTCATTGTACTTTGTGATTTTTAAAGAAACATACTTGAGCGTCATTTGAGGGAACGAAAATAGAGAAGCATGATTCAGCGGTGAGAGTTACATTGTGGTGGAAGTCGCCCATTTGGCAATACAATACGGCTCAACCCTTCTCCGTATACTTTGGATAGCAATTATGAGGATACCTCCGAAAGGCACATTTCGGGAACGCAAGGCAGATTTTAATTTGGAGGGGGGACGACGGAGTTATATTCTCTGCGCTTTGCCCTGCCATGACTGCTAATGAGATTGCCAATAAGGGTGACTTCTCAAGGAATGTTCCGTGAAAAAGACAAACATCATCCCAGTAGTTGCAAGAGTGTGCATCCCAGTGGACAAAAGTGGGTCTGTCAAGGAATGCCGCCTTTTCCGGCAAAGAATTCGTGCGTGTGCATGTAGAGCACTTCATATGGAAGAACCTTTTTCTTAACTTGAAATTTTATAATTTTTAAAAGTCGCTAAGGCGTGAACCTCTACTGGGGTAAAGCGCGAACAGCGGTTGTGCGTCCTTTTTTTAAAATATCGAAATTGGCAACACATGCCCCCTTTTCTTTTCATAATTAGCAAGCACATGAGGGTCCCTTGATATGCGAACGAGTGTTCGTTCATTCATTCCGATATGGACTACAAGGAATGGAAACCCCAGGCAGCTGCGCGTGTTGACGTGAAACCGTGCACCAACAGCTTACTCAAATGGAAAGCCCAATCAAGAACGTGTGCCACGTATTAAAACAACTTCACGTGGGGCCTCCCAAACGGTATCGTTGCCTTATGACTGGCCAAATAGCGGTGGGGCAGATATTCCATTTTGTGTGAACTGTAATTGCGAAGCCCAAGTGTCTACGGGGAGGAAGTCTCTCTGAGGGGGTATTTATTTGCACGAAAGATGGAACGGAAGGATTCTCCCCCCCTTTGTGCCTCGCATCCGTTGTCCCCATCTTTTGACATTACTGAATGGTCTCCCCTGGAATGATTAAGACGTGGTAGGAGGAAAGGAAGACACGCTCGGGTGCTCATCCGCAAGCGAAAAAGTGAAAATGGAAAAGCATAAGCCTGTAATAATGGAATAACGAACAACCCAATAACGTAGTAACGTAATAATGAGCAGACAGAACAGAGGGAAGGCATTTTCACCTGACCGGTTTATATTTTTTTTCCAAAGGGTAACCCTCTTTCGATGGTGACAAAAGACGATTAGGCAAAAAAGAAAGCTCACTTGTAAGAGCTTTAGCGAAGCAAAAAGGGGGGGAAGCCGAATGGATAATCTAATTTATCAGAAAAAAGAAAGGAGTACAAAATGTGCGAAGTAGAGAAAGGCTTAAATTTTCCTTTTCGATTTTGGCTAGTTGGATTGTTTTTTTTTTCTTTTTATTTCTCTGGCTAGCCAATTCAACTAGGTGTACAGCGGAACATACTTCACACTTCCAAAATGGAGGGTCACACATCAGGCGATGCACATGTGTACATCTGTACGCCGTGTTCTCCTTCCTAACTGTCACTTAATCGATTAGGAAAAAAACAATTACGTGAAAGCCAAGATGACAAAAAAATGCCCCTAACTGGAATAAGTTTTCCATAGAGAAATGTGTGTGGGGCGCAATTTGAAAGACTGAGCGCCATTGACACCGAACCCCCTGTGCGGATAAACCGATCGAATTAGAAATTGGCAAAACGCGTTGTCCGTATAATACGTTGAATCCTTTTTAGGCAAATTTTTCGAGACAGGGAAAAAGTGGCTCTTTCGTTAGAGTGCCCTCCCAGGTTGGCAAGTCCAAACATATCGGTCGGTAATCGTGCATCCTAGTAAAGAGGAAAATGTTAAAATGTTCACATGTGTCAGTGTGCTTCCCATGCATGTGTATACACCAATCCGGGAAAAACGGTTAAACAAAATTGGACTTTTTTTTTCCGTTCCTCAAACAATCCATGAGATGACCACCATTACTATTACTCATAAAACTCAGGTGGCACTCGGTTGGATGGCAAAAGAGAAAACACATCTCTTCTATTGTCTGTCCATTTATTTAGCACTTGGCTAGGAAATGTAAAAATTATAAGACTTATTTCTCTTTTTTTTTGTTCACGGATAGGATTTAATCTATAAATGACAGATCTGATTATACGTTTTAAGCAAAAAAAAAAAAAAAGAACCAATACGAAAGGAGCAAGCTACGCTTAGCGAAAATGATGGGGGAAAACTATTAAAAAAAAAAAAAAACACTATTCACGCGAATTCCCTTTAGCAGATATTATTGACTGGAACGGAAATGGCAACCAACAAATCAACCAACCGATCAGTCATGGCGTGAGGGCCTCCGTTTTGATCGCTCTAACGAAGCATTGTTGCAATTCGTATGATTTGATCATCGCCGCTATGGTCATCATATTGTTCCTTGCCTTTTTGAGGGCTCTCTTTTAAAATTTTGCGCGAGCCAACGAGCAAAATGAATAGGCGTATTTTTCGTCGCACGCCGGAAATTTGGCACAATCATGCCAATCGTCTGCATGCTAGTTATGCGAAAGAGCAAATGGCAAATTGGCATATTACCAAATGTACATATGAGGATGAGCATCCTTGCTAATTTTGCGATTATCGCCTGTTTCACTTTCCATTCCGCTCTTCCGTGTTTTATTTCATTTTATTCCATTTTACCCCATTTCATTTTCATATCATTTTATTTCTTTTTCTATCTAGGAAGTTGACCAACAGATGGTCTTTTCGACCCGCAGCGAGTGATTTTTTCGTTTGCTACCATAGGCGACACGGGGGGCGCGGATATACTTCTGTGCAATTGCGGAAATGCGCAAATAGGCAAATCGGCATATACCCGTAAACGCGTTCGGTGCTGTATAGGCTCGCTTGGAGGACCGGCGGAAGGGCGGCAAGCGGGGGGGCAAGAAATGGCCTACAAAAGTGAAAGCGGAAAAAAGACTATGGCATGACGAGCATTTGCTAATATTACATATTGTATCTACAGACGTATATGCGAGTGCTCGTTGCTTCTATGTAGGCGTAAAGCATACATATGGGCCTCTATAGTGCGCAAGCCAATCTGTTCTTTTTCTGGCTCAGGTCAGTTTTTCGACGTGCATTTTTTTTCCCCTAATTTTTTTTTTTTCCCCACGCCGTTTTTCCACGTATCCCCGGCTTCCCCAAGGCGACCACTCGCTATTCGATAGAGCCCCCAGCAGGATTATCCTGAATCGAACTGTATTGAAAAAAAAAAAAAATGTTACGTAAACGTATACTACATTCATAAAACATACTGACGAAGCCACTATCCAGAAATTTCCAAAAAGGAAAAATGAAAGAGAAGAACAGCAGAAGGAATAATCTTGGTGGTGGCGGACAAAGGGAAGGAAGTCAAAAGCGAAGCGACGGTGGCAACAATCATACCGGCAGTGCTTTCAGCGGCGGATTGGATAATGCCGTCAAAAACGGGCTCGGTAACGGCGTCGCCCAGAGTTACGAGAACACCTCCGACAACGGCCCTGGCGACGGCTTGGGCCCCCACTTTGACGACAGCTGCGACGTTGGTTGCAACCCTGTCGAGGATTCCATGGACGCATCGAAGCCTATCCAAGTTGGCGGACAACTTAATGGAAGTAAAAATGAAGGAGTAATTAACCTGGACAGCGGGCAGGAGGTATATTACGTCGAGGGTAGCGAGGACGCTGTGAACAATCTTGATGAAGAAAAAAAAGGGGCCGAGGGGAGAAGGCTAACAGGTGAGAGAGGCGCCGTGGGGGGAGAAAAACACAGCCTGTGCAATGAAGTGGTAGACAGAGACAAATGCGCAAAGGAGTCGAACCGCCATAATTGCGAAGCTCCTGTGGAGGGGTTATGCATGGATAGTGAAGTACCGGATGAGAATTTGGGCCAGTTGTTTATCCAAAGCCTTAAAGGAGATCACTGCAACGGCAGCAGTGGCAGCGGCGATCGCCCCGTGGAGGGCGAGACCTCCGCAGTTGTCGTTAGCGGCGTCGGCCATACCCCTAACTGCATGGGTTTCCCCCCCAAGGAGCGCCCGCAGTTCCGAGTGCAAAGCGCGGAGGTAGTGAAGTTGCAAAAAAAGGGAAAAGGCAAATTTATTAGCGGGGAAACGAATCTCAAGAGCGGCAACGATGAAAAAAAGGAAGAAGTGGTTGTGTCCCTCGGGAATAACCCCAGTGTGTTCAATCCCGAGGCTGACATAGGGATGAGCAAAGTGGGGAGGAGAAAGGGGAAACGGGAGCAGACTGCAAGCAGTGCAAAGATGGAGGATGAAGGTGCCTTACGGTTTGTCCCCGTGGGGTGCAACGTGAAAGAGTACAGCAATGGTAACATCAATGGTAACAGCAATGGTAACAGCAATGGTAACATCAATGGTAACAGCACTGGTAACAAGAACGGTAACAGCAATGGTAACAGTAATGGTAACAGCCGAGCCAACACCGGCCAGCACAGCGGAGCCAACAGCGGCGGCGACAGTAACGTCAATGGCGGCGGCCAGTTTGGAAAAAACCTAATGATCAAGGCAGGCGCAAGGAAGAGCCGGAAGATGCGCAAGGGGAAGGTAAAAACGAAGAAAAAAATCATACGAAAGAAGAAGTCCAAGTGCACCCTGAAAGGGAACTCCGCAAGTAGCCGATTCAAGTATGAGACAACACACGCAAGAAACGGAAAGTTAAAAAATGAGAAGAAGAATTACCTAAAGGACGAGCGATACTATAACAACAACGGCGACAGCAGGGCTGCGTCTGGTAGCGGAGTTATACACGATATAAGTAACAAATTTTCTAATATCAAAATCAGCAAACATTTTTTTTTAAAAATGGATGACGATGATGAAGAGGAGGACTACGACGAGGTAGACCAAGTGGAAGGCGTCAAGGAGGGGGAAAAGGACGATGCGCGCTCAAGTAGGCAAAGTTCCATGTCTCTGAACTTATCGAAAAAGGATTTCCGAAAAAAAATTATCATCCTGGACGAGCGTGCCAATTGGGGGAGAGGAACCATCGGCCATGTAGGCAGCAGCAGTGGTAAGGGTGATGGGTCATCTGGGGCAGGAGGATCCTCCTCCAGTGGAGCTCACCCCACCAATGAAAGAAGCGATAACCACGGTAACGAAGGAGGAAGTGACCCAAAGAGCCAAAACAAAGTGATGAAGAAAATTTTAACAAGCGAAGAAAGTTTAACTCTCCTAAACAACGTGAAAGAAATAAACATGAAGAGATTCAATTTCGATGACATCATTTCCAACAAAGATTCTCTAATGGAACAGTTCATGTTGTACAATCTGTTTTCCTATGACATCACTATACTTAAGGGCCCCCTGAAATTTATGTATACCTACTGCTTGTTTAAAAATTTAAGATTGTATTACCAGATTCAGGACAAAACTGTGTACATTGATGAGAAGGTCATTCCAAACTGTCGCATTAAGGACAACCTAATCGATACTCACTCGATAATCCTTAACATGTACAACACTTACTGCAAACATCTGAATCGGAATAAGATTCCCATCGATGATTTTATTAATTTGAATTATTTTAATATTCATAATGTGAAATTTGCGAAGAAAAATGTGCAACACAATAAAAGCTATGATGATAACATTTTGCCGGAGAAGGATAACAGGAAGATCAGCTCTATGTACAAATTCAGATCTTACCTTTATTCCAATCACTCCAATGATGAGAAGGACTCCCCTGGGAAACTTGTGGCTGTGGATTCACAAAAGAAAGACCTCCTTAAGGTGGAAAAAGGGGGGAATGTCCCACTTGTGACAGGGAATGAGAATAAGAAGGGGAGAATCTCTCGGGGGGGATCCAACGCGGAGATTCCTCCAGAGCAGTTCAGTGCGATACAGAAGGATTCCTCGAAGGATTACCTGCATCTCTGCAAGGATGCCGCCCCTGTAACGTGCAAGGTAGAGAAGGATGCCCCGTGCGCTTCGCAACATTTTCCGCAAGAAAGTCAAGTCACTGACAGGAGAGCCGACTCGAAGCAGATCGATCGGAGGGTCCTGATCAATGAAGCTACCAAGCGGGAGGCGGAGCTATGCGGGGAAGAAGTGGAAAAAGTGGAAAAAGTGGAAAAAGTGAAAGACGTGGCAGAAGTGAAAGACGTGGAAGAAGTAGGACAAGTGAATGAAGCGGGGGTAAACGAGGTGGGTGACGACCCCCTAACCGCGCAGAAGGGGCGCAAGAGGAAGATGCTGATGGGGGGCAGCAAAGATGAGGCGTCTGACTGTGCGAGTAAGAAACAGAGGGGACGCGAAGCTGATGTGGGGGAGGGCGCCAAGGGGAATCAGGACGTGCATTGCGGAAATGTCGCTTTACGAGCATATGGGGAGACGCACCAAGTGGGAAGTGAGTCCAGCCACGCGACGTTGCCCCTATGCCAGGTGAAGAAAGAAATACCTGGCATGCTGGAGTCTGCGGAGAGCCCCAAATGTGAAGAGGCGGCCACCGTAGTGGCCCGCATAAAAGATGAAGAGGAAGAAGAAGAGGCGACTGAAGGGGAAAGCTACAGCTCCCTGGTGATCCCCGTTGATGGGGGCGCCGAAGCTGGAAGAGTGGTAATAAAAAGCGAGCAAGGGGTGAAGGAGGAACACGTGACAACAGACGGGAACAGGAAGCACTTAACAAACAAATACAACGAATCGATCACAAGGGGGTGCATCGAAGCAGAGGGATGCATGGAAGCAGCAGGAGGCATCGAATCAACGGGAGAGTCCCAAAAGAGACTGATGCTGCGAAACAGAAATATCAAGGAGGAAAAGGCAATAAAGAATAACAAGCTGGGGAGGCCCTGCAAACAAAGCGGCTCGTCCAATGTGCCAATCAAAAGAGGAAGGAAAAAATTTTTCTGTAACAATAATCTGTCCCTTATGAAAAATAGACGAAGGAAAAGAGGACGTATCACTCCAAGGAAGACAAAGAGGAAGACGGAGGATAGAGGAACCAGGGGACGTGAATACCATTTTAAGGAAGAAGATTCAGACTCTGGTGAGTACACAGAATATGGGGAGGATGTTAGTGAGCTGGAAAATGTGAACGTGATGCTGTTGGAGAGGATAAAGAATAATTACAAAATGATAATGGAGAATGCTAAGTTGAATAGGAAGAAGAACCAGGAGAAAATGATGTTGATGAGAGGAGGTGCTGGTGCCTCCGCCGCTACTGCTGGAGGTCCTTCTCGAAGGGTGGATAACTGCGCGGGAAATGACGGTCGGCTTCCTGAAGGGAGCAGCAATGGGATCGGTATAGGGGGAAACGGGCCAAGCGGATCAAACGGGGAAAGCGGTCCAATCGGGGCACGCAGAGCAGGCAGGGGAGGCGGACCAAACGGCTATAGCTCCTCTGTGAACAATAAGATAAGTGGAAATCACGATGTTGGTGCTAACAAAGATGAGAAAGTGAGCGGAGGTAAGCAGGCCGGACTTCTAGAGGGGGACGCAACGGGGATTTACAAACGTAACAACAACGAAATGTCGGAGAAGGAAAAGAAGTATATGCTTTCAGTTAACTTGATATACAATAACAATTTTAACATCCTAGATATCAAGGTGAATACCCATTTTTCACACAACTACCACATATCGCTATTCTTCCTCTGTAAGTACACGTCCTATAATCTGTTTCTGCATCCGATTAATAAGAACGAGCACATCGTCTCGTCGGTAATTTTGAATTCGAAAAATGAAGTGCTGACGGATAATGGGAACTTCTTTGTGCTGAGATATTTACTCTCCTTTCTGAGCAATAAAATTTCAAGCCTGAGGAAGTGCTATGCGAATGCACTGTACAACTCGTACCTGCTGCAAATGCCGATACGAATCTTTCGGCACAATAATTTGAAGACCAAGTACAGTCCCAACTATGGCATTCGGTACGATGGGATATACAAGATTGTGAATGCTTTCACCTGCAATGATTATTCTACATCGGAGTATAAGAGGGACATCCTGTATGTTTTTAAGAGGCTGTATGTGGACAAGTGCTTTATCCCACGGAAGTGCTCTTTTTATGAAAATCAGTGCGAGAGGAAGAAGTACCTAATTGAAAAGAACTCCGTCTCGATTAACGTCTTCTTGAATAGCGAAATGATTATGACTTTGACTATCCCATATCTGAAGAATTACAAATCGACTACCTTCATGAATTTTAATCACATCTACAGGTTCATTCGGAGCAGGTGCATCAAGGAGAAGCTGGCTTGCCAGTGGGTCCGTGGCGATGTGCGCATGTACGAGGCGTGCAAGCGGAAGCTGCGTGAGGAGGAGACCCTTCGACGGTCAGCTTCCCCCGAGGGGGGCGAATCGGGGCAGACTACATACGAAGTGGACGGTCACCCGAGGAACGCCCCCATGGGGGGTGGCACCCTTGCCCCCCCAACTGGGACAGGAGGCTCAGACACGTTCCCCTTCTGGTGTCGCGGGAAGTACCTCCCACTGGTGCTGGTCCTAGAGACGCTAAACTTCCAAAAGGAGATTAATGAGAACCAACGAATTAGAACGAAAAATTTAAAAAATATGGAAATATCCATCCGTAAGACGGAGATCCCAATAAACTGCGAAATGGCAAAGAGGCCAGCCCATCTGTTCATCCCAATCAAAAGCAAAGAAGCGATAGCAGCGCATATCGAATTGAAGAGGCCATTCGAGGATACATGGAATCCATATGAAGATCTGTCAGCTGGAAGGGAAAGATTTAAAATTCCAGTAGAGAACTCAGTGGATGATTCCCTCCCCCCCATGAATTTTACCTATGTCAGTAAGACCCTCTTCTTTTCCAGACTGCCTCCATACAATCTGTTGCCACTCTGTTCAGGGTGCGCACCACAGAATTATAGCAAAAAGGAATTTGATGAAATATATATCAACGGGTATTGCAAAGCGTTGCGGCATAAACGAACGAACAAAATTTACTGCGATGGAAATAAGAGCTACGACATTAACGACTTTAATGTGCTGGCTGCCTGCTCGGGGAACTGTCTGTGTGACCCTTTAAAATGCACCAATCAATTTCCTGAGGGATTACACTACCCTGTGAAGGTGGTCAAAACGCGCGACATCGGATGGGACATCGTTTCCTCCTCTTACATAAAAGCGAATTCTCTAATTATGCATTACGTTGGAGAAATAACCACCAGGAAAGAAATGATTTCTAGAGAGCACGAATACGACAAGAAAGGGTATTTCAATTACTTCATCGAGACGGCAGAGGTGGATGAGACTTATAATGACGACTGGAAGATCCCGTGCATTGACGCGCTCTTCATTTCGAACGTAGCTCGGTTTTTAAACCACTCGTGCGAGCCGAATGTGAACGTGATTACCATATGGCGCGGCGACAATTACCCCTCCGTCGGCATCTTTGCCTCCAAGGACATCAAGCCGGATGAGCCCCTCAAGTATCACTACGGCATTAACTACAAGAACATCAAGTGCATGTGCAATTCGAAGAAGTGCAAGGGGTACATCGGGTGAAGTGCGGCTACGGGGAAACGGTTTTGCTATCAGCGCCTTCGTTGTTAGTGGTTCTTCTGTTAGTGGTTTTGCTACTATCCATTTTTCTGTTAGCGCTTTCCCTGTTAGCGCTTTCCCTGTTAGCGCTTTCCCATTAGAGGCTTCCCCCGTTCAGCCTTGTCGCCCCCTTTTTCATTGTGCCGGCTTGCGGGGTGTGCTTATGCGGTGCGGTCCATGTGGCTCGCATCAGGCAGGAAATCAGCCTATGCGGGCGCAGCCCCGAGTAGGGCTGCGTAGCAGTGCGAGGACGTATCTGTGGATATCCCCTCGATTAGTTAGTAAACGCTACTTGGGGCTACGTCCTCCCGAAGCGCCACTCCGATTACCGCCGCGGGGGAAGAAACGGCCAATTTTATGCCAACATTATATGTCAACTTTATGCTAACTTTACTTACCCTTTTAAAACCCACCATGAATTATTTATTTATATTTCTATAGTGTATATACTGTGAATACGTGCACGTATCTGTCACCACATCTTTACGTTGTGGGAGTTTAAAAAGGAAAGGCATAAAGTGGAGAAAACGGTGCATGCACGCACCGTAGGTAATAGTAGTTATAGGTACAGCCTACAGAGGATCTGCGGGTAATCCGAGTGGAGTTTACAAGGTGATCAATGGTCAACGCGGCAATACGTAGGCATATCACATGGGGGGGTAATACATTTTTACGCAGGGTGAAAAAAGAAAAAAAAGGAAAAAAGAAAACATTTTTCATAAAAAGCACCAAATTAGCGGTGCTCAAAAGGAATGCACGTTCGGTGAGCGACCCGGTATTGTAAAACGTAACAATTGGCATGTTCACTTGCGAAGATATCACAGGTGTGGTGTTTCCCTCTATTGATTCCCACAACGTGGATTTTGAACTTGCATTTTGGGTGAGCGATATCGTGTTCATTGGTTTATTCTGTTGATCTCTTTTATATATAAGCACATGGGCAGGATGAATGCGGTTCCGCCTGATTCAGCATTTGGGAGGGGTGTGCCTACTCTCTCTGGTACTGCGACTTTGTAATGTTTCGTTCGCTTAACGCATACATATTGTTGCTTGTTACCCGTCGTGCTTTTTTTTTTTTTTTTTTTTTTCCTTTTTCCAGCTAGACTATAGGATTGTGTACACCCTATAACAATGTTTCACCGAACTTTCGTCCTGTTCATATACAAAGGTGTCGTGTACAGATTTTTCAATATCTTTTGTGGGGGTCAATCCATAGAGAAGCTCTCCACGTGGGAAGTAAAAAGTTGACCCCAGTGAGAGGAGCTGCGTATTTTCTTTTATAACTCCTCCGCAGTGGGATCCTCAAGATCTGGGACGCCCTCCACTGAGATGGGCGTGTTAGAGGCATGCTTATTTAGGAAATCGACAAAGCCCTTTAATGATCTTTCCCCCTCGTAAGGCAGTGGGATTTTTGAACCCGCCTTTACAAAAAAGATGGTTGGAAATCCTGACCACTCAAAATCTTTAATTGGTGTTTCGTTCAGCGTGCCATCCATTTTGGCAACAATTATGGAATCATATTTTTTTAATTTCCTACCGAGGTCTTCATATATGGGTTCTAACTTTTTGCAATGACCGCACCAGGGAGCGTAGATTTCAATGAGGACATCCTTTCCACTTTTAAGGACGACATCAATGAAGGAATTTCCGACGACGACCTTAACAGGAGAAGCATTATCATCCTCCTCAGGAATGGGTTCTGACTTGAGGGATTTTTCAACTTTGCCCTCTTCTACTTCTTTAAAGAAAGTTACAATGGCTTTGTGATTATGTAGGGACTCTTTCGCATTGGGCAGTAAGTATCGTCCTTCACTAGATTGGTAAGCTAATCCTGGGAATTCATTTAATCCTAAGGACGCTCTAGCATGATCGGCATATTCAGGGATGTTTAGGAGGACAAAGTGTGTTTTTTTTCTCAATTCAGATGCTGCGAGTCGCACTTCTTCTTTTATTTCATTGTACTGTTCTGTTGTTGCACAGACCCATACCAATTCTTTGGGACTCTCTGCATAGAAACGATAATTTTCGGTATTTATTTCTCCAAACAGTGGGAAGGATTCGGTGGATACGAACTCGCTTAGAGGTACCTTCTCGTCGTAATCTACTTTCTTCTCATCCTTTCTGTAGCATGAGATTTTATTATGTTTTTCATTTTTTTTTACAAAAAATTTTGCGATTTCTCGATTTTTGTCTCCAACTTCGTTGAAACTTTTGTATAGCTCGTTATCTTCAGAAGTATATTCCAGGTAGAATGCGACTGCTATGTTTTTCTCCTTCAGAACGTCCTCTATGTTGGTGGTAATTTCCGTGAACACTGGACCGGTCATTTGTTGCAGCCAGTCTACGATTGACTGAGCGGTTCTTCCTCCTCCGTAGTTCACTCGGTTCTTCTTATTAAACATGATCATGGTTGGGTATCCTGTGATTCCATACTCTTGCGCTAGGGCGTTCTCCGTGGTGGCGTCTACACTGGCTAGCTTTATTTCGCTCTTCTTCTCCGCCAGCAGATTCGCCGCTTCATTGTACTCCGGGATGAGTCTTTTGCAGTGTCCGCACCTTGGAAGGGGAGAGAATTGCATGAGCGGTGGAAGCAGTATCGGAGGTAGATACAGCGGTGAATACCGCTTAGACCAGCTTCGGTTCCGATTCGGTCCCGGTTCAGTGCCACTTGGTCCATAGAGGGGGGCATATCATTACCATGGAGCGAAAAACATGACCAACACGACGTCATTCTTCGTAATAAAATTGTTCAGCTGTCCATCGTGTATTGTCGTGATGTGCTCATTAAACAGATCTCCATGCGCACGTGCATAGTTGCGAAGAACAAGGGGGATTAACAATAGGAGCAGGGATAACAATTTGTTCCTCATCTTAGGCGCCAAATTTGTGTAAAGGGGTGTAGGCGGGGGGAAATGAGCAGGGCAGCTCTCTGAAGGGATGCACTCTTCCGTTACGTTTATGAAGGAGAAAAAAAAAAAAAAAAAAAAAAAATGAGATCGACTTGATATGACAAGGGTGAAAAGGTAACAGCGCGGTGTGAGGCTGTGTATCGAATTGTGTTCAAGTAGGCGAAGAATAATCTGACGCGGCTTAAAAGCAATTGAGGCCCACTTTCCCCTTTAGCTACGCACAGTGGTTAGCAGCGCAGTACACGATTGAGTGGAGGGAGGGTTGCAGCAATTCGCCTATGCGTGTATATGTGCTTACAAAAAATATTTTCTCAGTTCGCATAAGCAGGCTAAGATACGAACGTGTGCGATGGGGGGGGAAGCAATAACTCGTCACAATAGGTAGTTTAAGCGCGGCGTGAAAATGATCAAGGATCATCGAAGCTGACCGAGAGTGACGTAAATTCTAAGAATGCTTACTCGTTCAAATTACATTGTTCACTCGTTTGTTAAAAGAAAAAAAAAAAAGAAAAGAAATTTGCAGGTTAGGTATGAGCGTATGTTTTTAAAAAAAAAAAAAAAAAAAAAAAAAATTACACTACAGCTGCGCGTCAGAACGGTTTGCATACCTTTTGGGGGAAAGTCCCTTTGGGCTTTTTTTTTTTTTTTTTTTTTTTTATCATGTATGCATATATATGTGCCATGTTTATGTGCGTATGCGCCTTGTATACATCCCCTCACATTATTGTAGAAGCTACCCAACTGCCCCTTCGGGTGAAGATGCGCATGCGTCGTGTTCACGCCAGTGGACTTAAACGTAATCCTATACGTGGTGGGTTGACAATGCACAGTGAGATATGATAACGCGTACGGGAGTTTCCTAATGTGTGGCCTAGCCACAGATGTGCTTTACAAAATGACACATTCGTGGCGCGCATAGCAACTGGCGCTGCCACGGCGCTCTCGTTACCGACGCTGCTTGCATGATCAAAATGTGTCGGTTCGTGTTATCCCCGGTTTGAGGTAGGAAGCCAATTACAATCACCTTTTTTTTTTTTGCTGGTGTTCTCGCTTTACACTTCGGATCTCAGATGCGATGCTCACAGAGAGGGGAGATGGCAAACTGGCGTGGCGAAGAGGTGAAGAGTGAAGCGGCGTGAGTGACACAAGAACTTAAGGGTAGTAAAGAAAAAAAAAAACTGCGCTTAAGTGGCGTCAGTGAAAAAGGGATATGTTGTATACAGCATATTAACTGAAGCGAAACAAACACCGCATTTTGTGTTTCTTCACATTAACCTGAACAAATTTTGGAAATTTTTTTCTTTCCTCGAAATTGTTTGCTACTGGCGATTTAAGTCACCATCTGTGTGAACTTGGCATCTTGTGTACACTTTCCTGTTGACACATGACCCCACGTTAGGATCGAAGCACAAATTCTGTGCCCCTGCTTGATTCCCCCTGTGCAGCGCTGTTCCCCGTGGGGGTGTACATGCTGATAATAGGGCCCAGAAAGTAAAGCCAATTGACAATTCTTTTCACTCTTTCTGCCTTTTAAAAGCAACATAGTGAGTGAGAATGACCCCAGTGGGAACATCTTTCAGGTGTGCCACCCGGGTAAAGGAGGCTAAACAGATGCCCCTTGAAGGAGAAACGGCAAAGGGGTTAGTACGCCCTTTAATAGTGGCACCCTTCTTTCGGTTATACCCTTTTTTCCAGTCACACACGGGATGATAAAAGGTAAATTTGCCGTCACATTGAGCAATTGAACATCCACCACTTGGCTACGCAAATAAGAATGTGTAGAAAAAAAAAGAAAAAAAAAACAAAAAATGGTCCCTTTGGTTTTTAATTCGGCAGCCTCCCCATGTGTGTCGTCTTCCCTTGGATAGTGCCTCTCCTTACTTTCGTTTGATATTGTTTCTCCCTTGGGGAAGCAATAAAGGAAAAAAATAAAAAAAAAGGAAGTGAAGTAAAGTGAAGGAGGACGTCTTAACGTGTTGCCACAATCAACGGAGGAATGTCATCCACTTAACATTCGGGTAGGCTAACAGCACAATAGAATGGGTGTATTTACATGGGTATTTTTTTTTTTTCTTCGCGCCTCCTCAAGGGGAACACACAGAAATGTGAAAGATAAAATAACTTTGTTCACGTGGGTCTAATTCATCCATTCACAACGGGGAAGTGACGTAAACGAATTAGACTTTTTTTTTCCAGAGCATGTGTCGTTCGAGACAAACGTGCATCCATTTCCTCTCGTCTCTTCATCCCTGTTGTAGAGGTGTGTACACCCGGATACATGCCTTTCAGTGTAGACTACCTCACATCGTTGTACCCACGAATAAGGGGGAACATTGTTAGGAAAAAGCAAAACAGCCGCGCAGGGCTTGCTACAGGAATGCCTGCTTTTTTTCATGTCTCCATTTGGCTAAACATTGGTTTTTACATGTGCCAATAAAGAATGTCCCGCCGAGATTTACAGGCGGAGGGGAACGCCCATGGGGCGAGTGAAGATTTGCCCCTGATGGAGGGAAGCCCCAAGGGGGGCACGTTCTACGACATGCTCTTTCCGGACATGTCCCTGAGGAGGTAGCTGCGTCTCGTGCGGGGTGCTCTGAAGGGGAGCACCCTACACGGGGGCGGCACACATAGGGGCACCACACACAGGGGAATCCCCTTCCTGGTCTGATGAAGTAGTTCGTGCTGATGACCGCTTCGCGTTGTTTCTCCGCCCCGCAGAATCATCGTGTGGATTAGCTTCGCCCAAATTGTCATTTACATTTTGAGTTGCCTTTTAAGCGAAAACTTAACGGCGCCCAGCGTGCAGGTGTTGATGTTCTTGGGCGCCACGTATGGCCCCGCCGTCAAGTACGCTTCCCATGCAGGAAAAAGGGGTCATCAAAAGGACCCACCTAGATATGCACTGCTAATGTTTAGAGGAGTATGCACCCGTTTCGCAGCCTATTTTCTCATTTTGTGGCACATCATCCCCCCCACAAACATATACACCCCACGCAGGCAAGGAGAAATCTGGAGACTTCTCTTCCCAATTTTCCTGCATGCAAATTGGTGGCACTTAATAATTAACATTATGTGCATGCTGAACTTAGGCCTAGTGATAGAGGGCAAATACAAGAAGGGGAGTTTTATTTTCCTTTATTTTCTGTCAGGGGTCGTTGGAAATGTATTAACGACGATCTGCAATCCGTGTCAGCTAGCTGTAGGAGCATCAACAAGTGGATTCGGGCTCATTGGATTTTCCATCCTCGAAATATTTTTAGCCTGGGCCAATTTGTCCAGGAGGGCTAAGAACTACTACATTTTTAATGTTTCTGTTTTTGTGCTATTTTTTTTGTTTGTTAGTTTTTCTCCTACCGTCGATTTCTTTGGCCACATTGGGGGCTTCCTCTGCGGGGCGTTTCTGGCCTGCCACTACAACAAGGCCATGGGATATGACTTGTAGGGGCGGCGAAATTGGGAGAATTGCGTGGAATTTCGCTAAATTGCCGCGAATTACGGCGAGATGGGGCGACTAAGACAGTTTTGCTGCCCATTCACCAGAGTATACCTTACATCTCCTACTTATCTCCTTCCCCTTTTTTCAGCTTCCAGAGGTCCCTCTACTACAGCTTCGCCTGCATATGTGCCCTAATTGTTTTGTACCTCCCAGTTCGGCTCTACGTGACGGACATGCCATGTGCACTTTTCCGCTAGCCATTTGCATTTCTCCACTAACCAAGTGGAGAATTTTTTTATTCAAACAAAATAATTTTATCGTTAATGTAGGGAACAACAGGTGTAATAGGTTGCCCCGTCTGTAGCTCATAAAATGGGCTCCACTTGAGAGAAAAAAAAAGAAGCAACAGGTACAAATTTGCGAGGCGGTGCAAATTGGGGAAGTTGCCAAACTGGGCAAAAATGGGAAGGGCACTACATTTGTGCTCTTCTCTACGTGACCGCTCTTCACCTTAGCATAGTCGAAGGAGCCGCAGGAATGTGCAGCCCTGCGCGGTGCTAAGCCCGCCTTTCCCTTAAGAATCTAAAGACGCTAAAATCGACCGAGTCGCGCGCGCCCCGTACGAGATCGGAGAAGCTCGCCTTATCCCCTTCGGAGAAGTGGTCAGAGATAAAAATTTCCTGCAAAAAGGGTAGGTACACGTGTTCCCATTTCACCATCTCATTAAGGCAAAGCAAAAAAATAGACGAAGGTCGAAGAAAGTCACCGGCGTAGAGAAAATCAAATGGAAGACCCTTCCGTTTTGTTTGCATTCGAATTCTTCTTTGGCTGTTTATAGATATGACACAATTTTCCCACTGAGTGAGTCCCTTTAAAATGTGATGGAACTGCTCGTGTGTTGAGTCACATCCCTGTGAAGGGGATGACCCTTTCACAATGATGTTTGTTCGAAATGGTAACGAAAGGATGCACGAAATTGTCCTTTTTGTCACATCTAAAGAATCCTCACGGGTATCACAAAATAGAATCGGTAATATTGTTCGTAACAATAAGTAGTAGAGAAAAACGGGTTCAGCGCAGGATTTTATTTTATTTATCAATTCTTTAAGTATGTCTTGTTTGTCCAACGGATGGCAGCGGTGATCATTTAGATGCAGTTGACTTGAAGGGGGTAGCCTCTCCAGAAATATATACAGTGTTTTTTCGAATGCGTCTCGAGATTTGTCCAATGGGCAATTACTCTGTTTTTCCCTCTCATTGGATGATGTGTGGAGGAGGGATAGCCCCTTTCGTGCGAGCATTCTACGTCCGGGAGAGACACCTCCCTGCATTAGTTTCACCAGAAAGAAACACTCACAGATGGAGCTCAGATCATACAGACTTAATTCGTCCTTCGTGTACAGTGGTTTATGATTAGCCGATGGAAGGATGTTACGCTCTTCCCTCTTTAAGTTATCCCCTGGGTGGGTACCATAGTGGGGGGCACACTCTCTTGTCACTTTGAATACTGCGCTGTCTGTGCGACTGCCCTGATTGTTTGCATCCACACCTCTTCCCCTTCTGCCTTGCTTATATTTTGCAACGGACACATCAACTAGGTGCAAAAATATTTCTTCGAAAAATAGGATGAATGATTCGTTGCTTATAATTTCAGGTTTTATTATACCCACCCGCATGAAGGATTTGAGCAGGTAGGGTAGATACTTCGATATGGAGCATTCTGGAGGATTGCCGTCTGGTCTGCTTTGCACTGCGTCAACGGCTACATAGGGGTGTACTTCTTTCTGGCCCGAATTTCCATATTTGTACAGAAGCACGCCAAGCAAGTGCGACACCTGATCGGCAAGGTGACTTTTGTATGGCATTCTCGACCGCACCACTGCCTTGTGAGGCCTTCTTTTCTTTTTCAGTCTATCAAAAATTACCGTGTCGGCCCACCAGTTAGAAAACAAAGTGAAGTGGCAGTAAGAGCAGAGAAGAAGATACCTCTGGATGTACTCCAGCTCATTGCACGTGTTGGCGATATAGGGGTCGTTCGTTCTGATAACCACGTCTGTCATGGTCTTGGCGGAGAGGAAGTTTCTGTACCGTTTGGAGAAGTTGTCCCCATTGGGGGAATTGTCCCTGTTGGGGAAGCTTCTTCCTTCCAGATGTGTGGCTCCCCCCTGCTGCTCACTAGGAAAGAGAAACGAGTGGTAACTGCATGCAAAGTTAAGAAGCACATTGGAGGAGAGCACCAGTAAGTCGAACGGGTTGACATACGAAGTAGAAGTCAGTACAAGCCGTTTAATTAACAAATTAAAGTCATCATCGCAGAAGCCGTTTCTTAGAAAGATTTCCTGCACCTTTGCTAGCTCCTCTACATTGTTCACCATTTTTGGTTCTATGTCCTTTTCCAATCGGCTGTTAAAATGGCGAGCGTACTTTTTCAGCGTGCAGTGGAGTGAGGGTAGGACAGACCTGTCTGGATAATACCCAATCGAGTCGGACACATAACTTAGCAAAGTTACAAAGCTGGTGTTGATGCATGCATTCCTTTGGAGGAAATTAAAAAAAGAATCGTTGAAAAGGTACTTGGCTAGCAACACAGCAATAATCATATCATGTTTTTTTTTTCCAGTTAGTTCTTTTACGATCCAGTAGCAGTGAATGACTTTTTCTTCCTCATTGGATGTGTGGATAAGTATCTGCTCAAGCAGTTCTCGGAGCAATTCTAGGTCGTCTATTTTGTACAGGCAAGTTAACTGGTAAATTTTAAACAAATAATTGTAGTGGTTGTTCTTTATTGCGAAGTGGAGGTACTCTCTCAGGTGGTCCCTAATTTTGTCCTTCCAGTAGAATCTCTTTTGCTCCTTTTCAATCTCCTGTTTGTGTAGGGTGGATAGTGTGAGGAAATCCAGGAAGCTCCTATTCGTCTTTTTTGCAGTTTCTAAATGTGTTACTATATGGATCATTATTTCTGCGTCTGCTGCGTCTATGCTTAGCAGTCCTCTCGTTTTTATGGTGCCATTTTTCGGTGAGGAGGTGTTTACCCCTTGATGTAACTCCTTTTCATTTGGGAGGCCCACTTCGGCAGTGCTGTCCTCACCACGTATGAGGAAATTTACCCCATTTCTTTTTACCTCCAGGAGGCTAGTTGCTTCCACAGCGTAATGCCTCGCGTCGCTTTGAGTGACCCCTTTGCGCCACTTGACGTGCCCTTTTCTGGTTATCTGCACATGGCCCGCACTATGAATAAAGCAGTAACGCCTGCTCCCCTTGATGATGCTGTAGGTAGCCATTTTTGTGCATCCTTTGATGATCTCCCCCGTTCAGTAGCTTCTGAACTTGGCTTTCTCATTTGTGGGGGAGGCACGTTGTACTGTGAAGACTACCACGTAGGAGAAACAAAGCTGCTATTACGGCGTGCACATGGTGGCACATTCTCATGGGAGTGATTCGAACTAGAACGGCGGTGCCAATTTCGCAGAGAAAGAGGAGGGGAAAAAAAAAAGACTCTGCATAGGGGGACATACTCGTTCTTATTACCTACACTTGGAAGAAGCACCTCGGCTCTCTTTCCACACATGTTAGCATGATGGATGCAACAAAAAAAAACGAACAAAAAAAATTGAAGCGTTTTTGGTTTTTTTTTTTTTTTTTT